AATAAAAGTGCCAGTAAGGAAGTGATCAATACTATTACTATTCATATTCCTCTTAACGTAACCAAAAGAGCTCCCAAAACACTGATAAAAATGTTCGCTAAAGGCTTATACGCGGGCTCTACCTCTTGGAAGAGAAACACATTACCTCAACTCAACCGAATGTGCTAACGGTAAGAGCATATAAAGGTGTGACACTAAGCACTCTAAATCAACTTTTAGTTTGGAAGGAAACATGTATCTACGTTTAATACCTCTAAAAAATTCAACACTCAAACGTATAACCACAAATCCACTATAGTATTACATTATTGTAAGGTTACTACAAATCCACCATAATAATCCATTACCGCTAGCCCCACTAAGGTTTCGTTCATTTTATCGATTCGAGTTTTCAGTTTTAGGTTTATACAATAAAAAGTTCTCACAAAATGTCACATTAAAATTTTCTGCTACAATAAAAAGCTCTCAAGAAATGTCACATCTCAACTCGAATTGAAAATTTGAATTCACAAAGTAAACGAGACCTAAATGTTTTTCTTCCTTGGTTTTTTTAAATTAATTTCTTGAAACGGTTGGAAAATGACTTCTTCTTCTTATGCTTCTCTTGAGCTTAACGAAACAACAAAATGATTTGACTAATGGAAACAAACCCAATTGTACTTTCGTCCAATTTGGTCTCCAGTAAAAAGATAAGGACGGTGACGAGGCTCCCAATATAATTACAAGTCACAACAAAAATAACCAAAAATAATAATAATAAATAAATAAATACGTCATGTGTTTGGTCCAAAATTTTGGACCTAACTAACCTATTAGCAAGAGGTTCATAGTGTCAAGATCGTACCTAATACTTTGACTTTGGCTTAAGAATCTCGTTTATTTAATGAAATGTTTGGCATCAAATCTCCTTGTTGACAACATAATTTAAAGCTAGAATAGAAGTTGTCAAATGGGAATTTTTGCTTTTAATATACGATATGATTTAAATAGCCGGCCGCTATAGTAATATCTCAGTGGATTTGTAATGGAAAAAGTCAAATTCAGCTAGAAAATAGCCGCGGGATTTTGGGTACTTTGCTACAGCTGTTGTGGTTTGAAGCTTGGACATTACTTTGTTGTTTGAATTCATGGAAACTTTTAGGAAGTTTCTCTTGTTCCTTCTGATTTAATGCGTTCTGTTGAATGGTGTAATCGTACGGTCACCTACAAATTAGGCTAGACAGCATGAAGTCGGGCAAGACAAATACATTTCGGCCTCGTTCACTTTGCGGATTCGAGTTTTCAATTCGAGTTGAGATGTGACATTTTCTGAGAGCTTTTCACTGTAGCAGAAAAAGTTAGATGTGACATTTTCTGAGAGCTTTTTACTGTAGAAACCTAAAACTGAAAACTCGAATCAGTGAAATGAACGAGGCCTTCATTTTCTGGGATGTATATGCTTCCTTTTTTTTTTTATATTTTTTATATTTTTGGTCGTTGAATGAGGGTTTTTTGTTTTTTTTTATTGGTAAATTTCAACTTTAATCCCAGAGAATAGGGATTGTATCATTTTTACCTCTATAGTTTATAATGACATAAAATTGGCCTTCAAATTTATTAGAAGTTGCAAGTTTGATGCTTCCGTCCATGAGCATTTCTACTCATTTGTAAAAGACAATAAAGGAGAACAATGGCTTTTGAGCAAAAGAAGAGGTGATGCTTTTAGGGCTAAGGTGAAGGGACATTTACGATTTGTTTTTAACTTTTAAAAATTTTGAAGTCTAATTTGTTTAAATAGACTATGTATTTCTCTTTGTTAAGCAGTCACGTGACCAACACGTAATTAATACTGTTAAAATTTGACATTTCATTAACAAGTAATATAACCACAACTTCTGATAAATTCAAAAGTCTATTTGTGTCATTTTAAACGGTAAAAATAAGATGCGACAACTTATATTCTTTATGAGTTAAATTGAAATTAACTTTTTTTTTTTTTAAATGTCATCCATTAAAAATTTTACAGCTTTTTCCCACATGAAGCTTCGATTAAGACCAAAGTAATATCTCACTTTTAGAATTTATAGCTTCTCATGTTTTGGCATTGGATTAGGCTTCAAACATATCTCATATATTCCATTTAAATTTTTACACCTTTTATTAGGTATTAGACGACCGTTTTTACAATAGCTTAGCCCCGTTTGTTTCATAAATTTGAATTACTGTTTAATTTTTTTTATTATAGTATTTTTCTCATAAAATTTAAATTTTTATTTAAAATTTTCTGTTTAAACTTATAAACCAAATGGGCCTTAGATCGTCTTCTTTTCTCCCGAGCCAATGTAGCTGAAAAATATGATGTATGCTCTACCATGAAGTTTCCACATAAAGACTAAAGTATATAGCAAGCGAGTAGTTTAGAGTTGCAAGGAGAGAAATTTAGGACCAGAAATGTCTGGTCACACCAATGTTAATTACAATCTTAGCTTAATAAGAATCAGTGTACTCAAATTTACAATAAAATGGGGTTGAAGAGTACTGAGGAGGCGTGGGACAATTGAGTTTCAAGAGTGTATTCCTCGTTCATTTAGCTCATTTGAATTGAGAATTTGAGTTAAAAAGTGAATTTATGTAAGAGAAAACGCAGAGAAAGTTGAATTTAAATTTTTATGAGAGAAAACACTGTAGTAAAAACTTGAGTTGTAATTCAAACTAGTGAAACAAACGATTATTTCGTGATGTCATGATTTTTTTTATGGCGATTTGTCGTAGTTGTTCATCTCAAGCTCTAAACCCTACTTATGAAAAATATAGTAATCATTTATGTAACAGTTAGGGCATCAATATTACCACTTGACAGCGTGACACTCATTTATTTAGTCTCATGTTCAATCATACATAATAATCGCGTGAGAATTACTACATTATAAACAGTTACTAACCATCCTCGTAATTTCTTATATTACTAGAATGTTTCACTTAAAATTTCCTGTTTACAAGTTACTCTAAAAATAATTTGCAGTTTGACGACCAACCCAGAGGCTAGTGACTTAAGTCGTTCATTTTCACTCAAATCGTGAAAAGTTGCATAATGTGCCACTCATTTGGGTAACTATTGTATTAATTTTGTTACATAAGACCATCTCTCATGCAAATGTTAATATCAATTGTATATTTAATATAAAAAGTGTTATATAGTATGTTATTTTTGTTTTTGCTCCAATACATAATGTTATTTAAAATGCTAAATTTACATTTTTCTATAATCATTAACCTTTAAAAGCTGTAAAAATAAACTTTTATTTTTAAAATAATTAAAAAATTAAAAAGTTACAATGATTATGTAAAAAAGTAATCATTTTAACTAATAGTAATTAAATGTCAAATTTCTCACATGCTATATTCGGTGAGAAATTTACCACAAAATATAGCATATGAAAAATTTACTACAACAAATAATATTGTATTAGAAAGTATTTTTTACACTCAAATACTAAATTTACAATTGACATATTAATTATAGCATTACATTAGTGATGCGGTAATATTATGACTCATCTAGTTATTGGTTTTATTATTAATATTGATACAAACCATCCTTGTTAACTTCATCAGTAACAAAAATGACAGAATAATTACTAGAGTGATGGACTTAATATTCTGTTCACGAGTTTTTTTTAATTAATAAAAAGAAGACCATTGGCGCCATCTTTTAACTACAACTACGAGTTTGACACCAAAGAGTCTATTAATTGAATAGAATCTTTGATTGATGCTATTAATAGAGTATCGAACTCTGAATACATAAGAAAAGACATTTTTACTGGCCACTAATTCATTGGTGCTTATCCTACACTCAAGTTGCTCTCAAACTAACCCCCTACTTGAAATTTAAAAATGACCAAAAAAAAAAAAAAAAAAAAGACATTCACAATGCTTCGCCTTTTGGGCTAGCTCTTGTTTAAAAGGAACTAATTCAGCATTTGGGCCAATTCGGCCAAACTGGAAGGCTTCGTGTTCTGGACTTTTTTGCAGGCCTTGTACCGCAAGAATGAGACAGTTGGGCCTTGTACTGCAAGACTGAGACAGGCTTGGACTATGTTTCTTTGGGCCTCTAACAGTGTGTGTGTGTGTGTTTTTTCTTTTCAGAAATTCCCGCAAGCAGTTTGTGTAATTCTCTCAAGCTGATATGTGATTAGAGAAAGTAAGAGTAGAAATCTTCAGTATTTAAGAATGGACATTAATTTTAATATCCCTTCCTAGTAAAGCAAAGCACTTCTCTAATTGATTTCCTTTTCTCTAAAGGGACCATCACAATAATGGTTTCCTTCTCACCAAAAAAAAAAAAGAGTCCATGTTGCCACCACGCACCCTCCATAAAAGAGAGTACGACTATATATATATATATATATGGTTTAATTAATGTGCAAAACCAAAATTATTTCTGATTTTACGTGCATGTCGCAAATATATTCTAACCATACAAAACAACTATTCTTGATGGTGATTAGATTAATTGTTGTACATGAATTCAGATCTTCCACTAATTTTTGATATTTTAATTAGTGTTTAACTTATTAAATTATACCCTATCATTTTATGATAGACACAAAAAAATTTTGTTAAAAAACTAATTTTTTATATTTTATAACATGATATAATTAGATAGACATTAACTGAGACACTTAAAGGATTTGCGTCCGTTGTACATGGGAAAGAGATCGGAAGTTTCCACCTCGAAACAAGGTTCTTTCCACGTGCTAGAGGGAAAACTGTTCGGTTGACTTCGTTGACCCTTTCTTCTTCTTCTTCTTCTTCTTCTTCTTCTTCTTCTTCTTCTTCTTCTTCTTCTTCTTCTTCTTCCTATTCTCAACTTTACTCCTCGTAACCATGGATCTCAGCTAAGAGATAAACAGTCGTATACATATACATATATATATATATATATATATATATATATCATTCTTCCTCTCCTTGGATTTTCACTTCTTATTCTACAGAGCTAGCTCAAAAGAAAGAATTAAATTACTTGTTTCTTTTCTTGGGCTCTCTTTCCCAGGTATTCTGATGATCTCGCTTCCAATCTCTTATTATTATTTTTTTGTTGTAACATGTCAGTTTTGTAATTTAGATTAAAACTGTAAGTTTTTTTTGTTGTACATGTCAGGTTTTTTTTTTTTTTTTTTTTTTTTTTGGGTAACATGTCATTATTATTTCAGCCATGAATTGTTGAAACTGCCAAAAAATAATAATAATAATTAAAGGGTGATCTGACTTGGGAGTTTGTTTGCTTGTTTTCTAAATTGTGAGTTTTCCATGTACATGCCCTGTGGAAGGCTTGGCTTGTGATTTATTAATATTTTCTTACTTAATTGAAGCAAATAGTGTATGGTTCTACTCTCCTTTCTACCTAGTACTGTATTTTTTTTTTTTTTTGGGTATGAGATGACTAGTTGAAGAAAAATTGTACGCCTATTTTGTTCAAACATGTCGAAGATTGTTGTGACAAGAATTTTGTCTATTCTGTTGCATAACTTTACATGTATATTTTTGTATAATTACTTGTTTTCTCATGAGTTTATTTTATATATTTAGGATAACTCGAGTTTGTTATGGCAAGGATAATTTCACTTTATTTAATTTTCAATCTAGTGATTAGCCTTTTTTTTTTTTTTTGGGCTAAAAACAAAAACATATACTATGTATAAATAAGTTAGCGTATGATCTGTAAAATTTTTCGACAATGTGCAAGTACCGACCATGGAGAATTTTGTGTTGCATAAACTATGAGTTTGTTTTTGTGAAATGCTTTTTTTTTTTTTCTCAGATTGTTGTGACAAGAATCACGAGTTTCTTTTCGTTGTTGCATAAATTTGCATGCACATTTTTGTCTTGTTTTCTCTAGAGTTTATTTTATGTACTGCTTTATTTTGACTAACTCAAGAGTTTGTTATGTCAAGGATAAGCGTACCATATTTTATTTGCAATCTAGCTGTTAGCCTCGTTTTTTTTTTTTTAATTTTTTTTTTATATATAACTAAAGAAACATAATATGTAATATATGAATAAGTTAGCCTATGATTTATAAAATGCTAGCCTTTCGTTGTTGTTATTGTTGTTGATTATTTTTTTTTAAATTTATTTATTTACATGCAGACACCAATATTTGAGAATTTGTGTCAAATTCTGCGATGGGTATTCAATTCTTGGCACTTTTAACATCAGTACATGCAAAAATTGAGCTGGCTAAGCAAATAATGGAATATCTTAAGCTTTTTCCTCAGTGGCAAAAAAATGTCAAAGAACAAGATGAAAAGGTAAAGACTCTCAAAAGAAAACGTGACGCATTGATCGATTTAGCGGGGGATGTCAATGAAGAAGTAAAAGCAGCAGAGATCCAACCCGGAAAGAAGCCAAGGAGAGAAGTAGAGACTTGGTTGAAAAATGTAGAGACAAAGAAAGACGACATTCGAAAATTAGAAGAAAAAGTTGGGGAGAAAAAGTACCTCCTATTTTCATGGTTGGAAAGTAGTGTAGAGAGGAATCTTCAAGAAGTGAAGGAGCTTTATGAGCAGGGTCAATTTTCCGATGGTCTCTTTCTTGACGTGCGCTCAACAAGCGGAGAGCCGTTGCTGACGCAAAAATTGGTCGGTAGGGATTCGAATCTGAAAACGATTTTCGAATGGTTGAATGACTCAAGTGTGTCGAGAATCGGAGTTTATGGAGAAAGGGGTGTTGGGAAAACAGCCATTTTGACTCATATCCAAAATGGACTAACACAAAATAATACTACATTTGAGCATGTTTATTGGGTGGGCGTACCAGAACAGCCTAGTGTTCAGAAATTGCAGGGTGTGATTGCAAGACAAGTCGGGTTGAACCTCTCAGATGAGGAAGACAAGATAATAAGGGCGTCGAAGTTGCATAACGCGCTTACAAGAACAGGAAACTGTGTCATCATATTGGATGGTGTTGGGAGGCTATCTACAGAGGAAGTTGGGATTCCAGATGGGGAAAAAGGGTGTAAAATGGTGTTGAGTACTGGTTCCTTGAGGCATTGCCTGAGGATGAATTGTGAGAAAACTCTTGAGATAGAGCCACTTTCTCATGATGAAGCATCGACCTTGTTTAGGCAAAAACTGGCCAATAGAAACACTCTTGGACAAGAAATTGAGAACATTGTGGAGCAAATTGTCAAAGAGTGTCAAGGTTTGCCCCTTTGGATTATGAATGTTGCTGATAGATTGAGGGGAGTGGATGACATTAATGAGTGGAGGAATGCATTGACAGAGGTGACTGAGTATAGAAAAGGTCTTGCTGATTAGTTTTCTTTGTGTTTGTGTGTTAGGGTTTTTTTGGCTAGGAATTTGCTCAAATTTTATGTTTTCAGAGTTGTAGAAATTGGTCATTACATTTTGACCAAAAACTTGTAATGGGTAAAGTTGTATTCTTGATAATAATTGAATTTTTTTTATTTTTTATTTTTTAAAGCAAGATAGCACTCTTTGACCTTTTAATTAAAAGCAAAATTGCAAAGACAATCTAAAAGCTATGCATTTATTTCGCAAAATAATTTAAAACTACATTGGTGTTTGTGCAAGTGCTTTTTAGCCTTACATTAGCAATCGCAAACAGAGCCGTGTCTAGGTTAGTTGCAGTGAAAGTATGCAATCTCACCAAATGATCTAACTTCGTGCTTGCTTGTTTGGAGAATAATTGAAATAAGAGTCTTCTACAGAAATAATTTTTCTTCTACAAGTGCTATATAGAAAATTAACCCTTACAAATGAACTTTGTTGTTATTGTTGAAGATTACAGGAAGACCCTTAATGGAGAATTTATTTTCATTTACCACAACAATCATAGAGATCATAGGTCCAAATCCTAAAAGGAAAACCCAAGAAGAAAGAGCAGACAATTGACATCCAAACATTTCATCAATCTCTCAAGGATCATTAATATTGGCAACGAATAGAAACTCCATCATTTAGTATTCAAGGAATTAAAGCATCATTAAAACTATGAAATGCAGTTACATTTTCAAAGTATTTACAATACTCATTTGTGTGGAAAAAAAAGGAAAAAGAAAAAAAGAATAACCACTTTGAATAGTTTTACTGAAATGTTATTGACAAACAAATTAAGTAAGATGCTCTTGAATTTAGTCAACTTTGGCAAGGAACAAAATACTTCTCCTTTGCATTTACTTGACCTTAGCGATAGCTTTACCAGGTACTCCCCTTGAAAAATATAGCATAAGAGCACCACCAAAATTGAGGCTAGTGACCATCATCAGCAACTCCTCAGAATTGTGTTAGCCCTGAAAAAATGTCACCATCACACATGTAAGTACTTTATTCTTTTCAATTTTTCGTGTTCATAGATCAAAACTAGAAATTCAGTCGTATTAAACATATACAAAATTCCAAATAACTTTTAGGATTAAAAAAGTCTGGATGGACGCCATGACTACTGGTAGACAAAATAGGAAAGCCGAGAGTGACATGCACTTGTGGTATTTAGGTGCCCATAAGTTCCCTTCCAGTCAGTATTTGCCTATATAGGGTCACTTAGTGGGGTCCACTCATAAGCCAAGGTGTTACCTCTCCTGTGGCCGATCTATTTGTAATTTATGTGCGTTCTTTCTTTTTATGCGGCTATCAAAAATATAATAATAATAAAAGAGGGCAAGCCAAGATGATAGTTACAGCTAAACAAAAGGCCAAATAGTAGTGTTAATTCAAATCCTTAAACATTTAGTAAAGAAATTAAAAATTCGGAGTGAGGTACTACTTTAATATCCCAATGCATGAAGTCATATGGCAAAACTAAAAGTAGACCTTTAATCTCAGTAAGATGTCAAAAATAAATCTGGGCATCATCTGCTGTTACATAACAATAACAATTGAAAACGCTTACTACTGCAGTGCCTTACCCTGCCAAAAGTATCAAAATGTAGCCGCATCATTTTGTTGGAATGATATGAAAGGCCTCATAAGTTAGAAGAATCCCAACTAGCATAAACCGCACTAATGATTTTCTCATGCAATGTAGCGCCCGAGCAAGCAACTATTCCTCTATCAAGACCCTCTAAGTACACCCCCTTCGAAAAGTCGAGAGGGTGACCTCGAGCATCAGTTACCACACCCCCAGCTTCTTCTACAATTAGAACACCAGCAGCATGATCCCATATCTTCTCCTTGTAACCAGACCGTGCAAACTTCATGAAAATCTCGGCATCTCCTCGAGCTATGGCAGCATATTTCACCATGCTATGGACACGCAAGGGCTGCTTTCTGCCATTTCGGCAGGAGAAAAAAAATTGCAATAATTACATTAGAGTACATATAAGCTACTAAATTTGAATACTGAGCTACGCAAATGAGGGAAGAATCCACATAGAAAGTGTCTTTCTTTTGCAAATCTTGAAAGAAAATTATTATACCTTAGACCGACACTGTGAGCAAGTCCCTGCGTGAATGAGTGATTTGAATTTGTTTTCTCAACAGGTTCACAAGATGTGGCCAGTGCGGGATCATCAATGGAAGAGACCCGAATCAACATCGCCGAATTTGGCCACTCAAGTTTATTTGCTCCATGAGTTAGTGATTGCATCCATGCCTCACCACTACCTTTCACAGCATACATCACACAACCTTTACCCCATGAATTCATAGCAGGAGGGGAAAATTTTAACATGCTTTGATGGGGTTGATAATGATAATTCAGCAATTCCTTCTTCATTGGGTAATTAGGACACCCAAGAACTCCAGTCACAACTTTTCCATCCTCAATCAATGCTAGTGCTACTGCATACTGATCCCCTCGCACGAACCCCAATGTCCCATCAACAGGGTCCAGTACCCAGTGTCGCCCCTTGGGGCCTCCGGTTGAGTTGCATCGGCCGATAGCCTCGAGAACTTGAGAAGTTTCAAGGGCCTTTGCAGGGGGTTTAAGACCATACTTTGGCGCTTCAGCCAAGCATTCGTTAACAGTGTTCACAACAGCTGCGAGCAAACCAGCAGAATCAGCCTTGGAGAGAGTCTTGACATCTTCTTCAGCAACGATGGAGACATTTTTATTCCCAAAGGATTCAGACAACACCCAGCTAACAGTTGCTTGAACGCTCCAATCTGTTAATACAGGGATGTCAAAGAATTAACCAATCTCAAATAGAATCACGCTTACACCATCTTAGCAAAAGTGAACTCCTCGCTAAGTTAAACAAAAAGAACAAAAGAGAGAAAAAAAAAAAAATCCTATGGCAGTCCATTCATCTAGCCGTTGACTATTAAACCTCATAACAACTCCTCACAAGCGATGTATTTCCCCTCATAACATCCAAAGTTAGTATGTTTTGATTCTGATGTATAATTTTCACAAATAAACCTGCAGATACTCTTCTTATGAAAAGAAATTCCCGTGGTTCTGCTAGTCATAAAATCTCACCAATGTAGAAACTAAACTATTTTGTTTCCTTTACAGAAAATGACAAAAGAAAAATGAAAACAAACAAACAAATTTCCTGGGAAACAACAATCAAGGTCAAGAGTCCTACGAGCCAAAAGAAATAATTAGAGGGTTTGACGGAGGGTTTTAGTTTTTAACTCGGGCTCACAAAGTGGGTTAGGGGATTTATGGGTAATTAGAAAAAAAAAAAAAAAGAAAAAGAAATGATTAGTAAAATCAACCAACCTCAAAGAAGCGCCAATGCATCTAAAATACTAGCCTGTTTATAAGCATTTTTCAGCTTCCTGAGGCCAAAAGCTGCTTTTGAGAGCGTTTGGATAGTTTTTCATAACACTTTTGGTATTTCAAAGGTTAAAAGCTACGCGATGTGGCTTCTCAAAAAATCTTCTAAGAAGACCTTGAAACTTATATAGAGTTTTAGTATAATTTTATGAATTTCATTCAAACATTTTTATCGCCTTAATAAAAAAATTTAAGTATCATTTTTGTCTCCCTTTCAAAAATGGTGTTCCAAACACCCACCATAATACCATACCTCTTAGTTCTTTTTTATCAACTAACTAAAAACATAAGCAAAAAAAAAAAAAAAAAAAAGGCAATACCAAGAGTACATTGGCAAAGGTTTCCTAAGACACACATAAATTCCAAGCAGAAGCAGCATCTAGTCACCAATGCATTTCTTAAAAGCGCCTGAATGATTCTCTGCTAGTTAAACCAACTAAAGAAAATCTAAAATGATTGAAAGATTATCGAGTCACCCTTTAGGCTTTTATCCAATGAATTCTATCCAAACTCCAAAACAAACACAAATAGACCTCATTCGAAGAACACCCACCAAAATGCAACCACCCAAATTCAAGAAAACAAAAACATAAATGGAAAGCAAGAGCCATACCATATATATACATATATACACACAGATATATATAATTCAGTTCAAACTTCGAAAGCATTATTTACCTGCAATGGTTACAGGAGAATCATCATCCTTAGACTTAACTTGCTCACTCTTCTCCACAGAAACCAATCCATCCTGAACTCTCTGGCACAGCGAACACGCCATGTGGACAACTCTAACGGCAACATCCAATTCCTTGGAGTAATTTTCGCTCCCCATAATCGGATTTCAACAAGTTTCGGAAATACCCAGAAGACAAAAATGAAAGAACACAGACAAAGAGAGAGAGAGAAACAGAAATCCGTTAGATACCCACCTCGGTATAGGCGGCAACCGACTTTCCTACATTCTCGGAGAAGTGAAATTTGACGGCCGCGGATTCTGGCCTTGCCTTTTAGCGATCGACACGAGAGTTTGGCTGAAATATTCAACTTCTTGCTTGTTTGTGAGTTCGTTTAAAATCAAAATGGGGTTTTGGGTTGATGGGGTTGGGTGGCATTTTTGGAACGGGCAGTGTTTGGCTGCTGGGAAAATGTGGTTGAAGCGCATGGAAAAGTGTTCATTTTTTTCATCCCTTTGTCCATGCGGATTTTGAAAACCACCGGCGTCCTCGTCACGTATTAACTTTTGAGCACGCCAAGGTGGGGGGCCGAAACCACGACCACGCGGCTATACCAAATTTTGACACCTCCACTCCAAATGAAAATGTCAATATTCAATTCGATTTTTTTAAAAATATTTCTTACCAAACTAATTATAAGCACCGCCACACACGTGTTTATTCGGATCGTTTTTTTTTTTTTTTTTTTTTTTTTTTTTTTTTTTTTTTACGTACGAAGATCTAAAATTTCCTTAAAATTGTAATTTTTTTTTCTTGATTTATTACTCTCTAAATTTAGGAAAATACATTTTTAAATGGAGCACTTTTAAAAGGAAAAAAAGTTTTAAGTAAAGTAAATTAGACAAGAAATATTTAGTGGATACACATGAGAAAATAGTATTTGAGTGGTTTGTAGAAAACAGATGTTTGAACGTGAATACATTTAAAAAAAAAAATTATTTCAGTTGATCAATTAGGGAAAAACATTTATTAAAAGCACATTTGAAAAATAACATTATTTTAAGCTAAGTATGGGTAAACAGGTAGAACATATATGAATTAGGCATAACATTATTTTAGCGGGTAAATTAGGCATGAAACTAATCAAGCAATACATATTAAAAAAGAACATTACCTCAATAGGAACTAATTAGAAAAAAAGCATATATTAAAAAATAACACTTAAAAAGAGCACGTGAAAAAACGGTAAAAAAGAGACATTTGAGAAAAAAAATTATTTAGCAGGTCATTTAAAATAAAAAACGTAATTTAGAAGGATCACTTTCGATGTAATAAGGATTAGATGAAAAATTAAATAGAGAAACATGAAAAAAAATATTTTAATATGAGGAAACACGAAACAAATAGTTCAAAAAAGCACATCGAAAAAGAATTAAACTATGAATTAAGTAATGATATATTTTTGAAAGAAACACACTGTAATAACTAAACTGTAGAGTAGCTTTCTGCAAAAAAAAATAAAAAAAAATAAAAAAAAATAAAAAAGAAAACAAATAAGGAAAGAAAGGAAAAAAGAAAAACAAGAATCAGCAAAAAATAGAAGGAAAAAGGCAAAAAAGATGGGAGCTTGACACTTGACAAATGGAGAATACTGGAATAAAATAAGCTTTACATCTTTTATGTATGTTAAAAATTAAAGATTTGATTAAATTTCACTTACTTGATGTGTGGTTAGGTTATTTTGTGACATATGTGTTGGTTTACGAAACGATTTCAGATGCGAAAGCATGTAATTAACAGATTGTGTATAATAAAATTTTCATAAAATTTTGAGATACTTTATAAATTATATTAATTTATGCACGAATAAATTAATCAAATTAATTTATTTACCTAACGAATGATTAGGTCAATAACTTGAGTTCTTTAACCACGAACATTCCTTGGTCCAAGTTAGTTTAGAACACTCGAATCTTCCTCATCAATTCATTGAATCTACAAAGATATATGTATGGGCATACCTAAACAAAACAGGATTAGTGAATAAATACTCAAGATTTCCACGAACATCAACACATGCACGACATGAAATTTTTGGAGAAATGTTTTTTTCCTCACACTCTATAATTCGGCCACTATAGCTAGGGGAGAGCAGAAAAATTGTGTTCTCTAATTTTCTGCAACCTCCTATTTATAGAGTAGTAGTCAGACTCTCAAAAGAAGTCTAATCTTTATCTCTAAGATAAAACTTGATAATTATCTCCTACTTCTAATTTGATTTTGAAATAAAATCCACTCTCTCCCTTATTCATATGTTGGCCGGCCACCACAGAGGAATCCCTCCTTGTGGTAGGCGCATACTGCAGGTAAAGAATAGGAAAAAATTATGCATTTATCATGCAGTCGAATTTTGACTCAAATTTAAATTCTAATTTAAGTCAAACTTAAATCAATTTGAATTTCAAATTGGGCAACTTATCAAAAAAGTCAATTGGATAACTTGGAGAGCAAGCAACTGAATCATAGAAGGATTTACATTGTGCTGGGCGTTCACACCATGTGAACACCTTCACATGTGTGTTTCAAAATTCAAATTTAAACTTAAACTTAAACAATCACATTATTTAATTTATAATTAATTCTCAATTAATTATCCTTGAGCGTTTTATTTTAGAATTTTAGAATTCTAAAATTTCTATTTTGCCCTTAGTGTCTTGTAAGATCACAAGGACGACGCATGGACTTATAGACCTATAATTCTGAGTTTTAATAAAATTAATAATTAATTAAACACTTTAATTAATTAATTAATTTTACTAATTTTAAAAGTTACTCCATTATAAACTTGGAATTATACTCTCATAATTATAGACATAAATTACTTCTAAATTGTAAAGTGTCCATTTGATATAGTAATTGCAGATAGATCAATTAATCCTTCATAAATAATTCATAATTAGAGTTAGGTGAAATCCGTTAACCTCTCTAATTGCATCTTTATCCTTGAGTACCATTGATTCTCTAATGGACAATGATTCATAAAACAAATTCATGAATCGGAGCTCCTACTGGTCCAAGTACCGAATCAACCATCAAGAGAATTATTTATCTACTTCTTTCTCAATAAGGAATGGATTTCATCTCGTATAAAAACATTCCCGGCTACTCACTTCATCATATCTCTAAAATACAAGAAATAGGATTCAGGTCTCAGAATCCGTGCTGAGTAAATCAAAAGACACAAATTCATAAACAAGAGTATGCTAATAACTCAAGATTAAGACCATTCTATATATGACCATCGGTAGACTCAACTATAATTTCTATGCTTAACAGAAATTATCAGAAATTCATATCGTGTCTGTGTCCCTATTCCACATAATCTCATTATGCGTAATACACTCATTCTATATCTCACCATATTAACAGTGCGGATAACACCGTTTCATTCTAAATGGGAATGACATGTATTAGTAATGTTTTAATTTAAAGATTATGAATTTTAATTAAATTCATTATGAACATCATTTTGATTATTATTCTTAAATATTATCCTTTTACATGTAACACTTATATAGAATATTTAAGGTCACATAAATAATCATGAAATTTTCAGTGATATTCATAAAATATTCATTAATATATGCACATAAAACAATTAATAATCTCTTTTATTAAATACATAATAATTATCCTATTACATCTCATGCTTTTAGGACACCATTTTCAACACTCTCCCACTTGTCTTAAAGCAGGTGTGACATGTCTCTTAACCCAAATCATTCTAAGTGTCTATTAAATACATTTAGTGGCAATGTCTTTGTGAACGGGTTAGCAAGGTTGTTATCCGATGCGATCTTCAGAACTGCTACATCGCCTCTCTCTACTATGTCTCTGATCGGGTGATATTTCCTTTCTATATGTTTAGCACTCTTATGACTTTTAGATTTTTTTGAATTAGCCACCGCTCCACCGTTGTCACAGTAAAGCTTAATTGGTTAATCCTTGCCCGAAACAACTTTCAGATCAGTCAAGAACTTTCAGAGCCATATGGCTTCTATTGCGGCTTCACAAGCTACAACATACTCAGCTTCCATGGTAGCGTCAGCAACACACTTTTACTTACACTTCTCCATACCACAACTCCTCTATTAAGAGTGAACATAGATTCAAATGTCAACTGTCGACTATCTCTATCCGATTGGAAATTAGAATCTGTGTATTTCTGGTGAGAGGCAGATCTTCTCCAGAATATACCAACATATAGTTTCTCGTTCTCCTAAGATACTTGAGAATACATGGTTACACCCAAACGTGTACAAAAATAAGCTGTCAATTGTAGCACAATTAGGATGGTCGATCCCACGAGGAGGTGGTAAAAACAAACAAAAGAGATTAGCGGAACAAAAGCATTGGAGAAGTAAGTAATTGAACAAAGAAAAGAAAGAAGTGTTTTTGTGATTTTAGAGCAATTTAATTTAAAGACAATGCAATTTAAAATGGAGAAAATTCAATAGTTAACGTGGTAAGACATTGAGAGTCCTCTATATGCTTCGTTCACCTATTTAGATTTTGATTCATAAATTGACTTAATTGATAGTTTCACATCCAAAACAATCAATTGGAAAATAAGATTTTAAGAACTTATGAATTAAAATATGTATTCGAGTAAATAAAATTCTTACGTTAAGAACTAGAAAAAATTATCTTATAAGAAATCTAAAAATGACAACATACCTCAGGGCGATATTACAATAAAAGACTACTCATAAAATAATGCCTACTAATATATTGTATCATGCAATTATCACATAAATAGAGCTTGACTAGATTTATATAAAAGTTGATAATAAAATATATTGATATGAAGAAGAAATGTGATGAAAGAAAATTATTTACTCAAATGTATACAACTTACAAACCATTAGAGAATGAAAACCCAATCAAGCTCACTACACATAAAGGATCATTTCTAGCCTCACCCAAGAACTCTAGCCTAGCTTGCAAAGCATTCTCATAAAATTCTAGAGAGAAAATATGAGAATAAAAGCAAGAAAAAAATGAGAGAAAAAAAGTGTCTAAACTTAGGCTAAAAATTAACCCCTTCACACTTGGCCAAGCCTCTATTTATAGAGTTTTTGAGGAATGCCAAAAACTTATCAGCAAATGAACAAAAAAAAAAAAAAACTGATTCCAAATTAATTGGAATTTACAAAGCTTAATGGAGAATGAAAGTTGAAATTATCCGTAGGATATCAATAGAACAAAACAGATCAGTTGGCTAAGGAATCCCAAGTGGGTGGGACACATGTCGCGTGAAGAGAGGCTGAGAGGAGCAAATGGCCGACAGTTGGGTCCTACACAGACATGTGGCATGCGTTGAGAGGGAGTTGTTGCACAGTGGGGCCCATGCAGAGAGTGAATGGAAGCTTGCCTGACTTACTGTTGGAAATGTGTCCATAAAGTAGGGTGTAATTTGTTATTTATGAAATGGCAAATATCGGACATCATTATTTTGCTGATGTTTATAAATAAAATAAAGTTATGTTTTGATTCATATTCAAGAGTGTTAGTAATATTCCTTAGT